TATTGATCCTGGAGTCCAGTTGCTGTGGGCAGAGCGCAGGTCCGGTCGGTCTGCCTGTCCAGGGACAAGGACAGAAGACGTTCTTAAGCTCGGGTTACATGGGACTCGGACGGGGATGGACGAGCCACAGCCAAGAAGGTTTAAACTAAACTGGAGATGTCACCTGAATGTTACCTGGGGTCTTGAGTTAGAGCCTCAGGCACTTTGAGACAAGTAACAAACCAACCCCAATGAACAGTCTCTCCCCGAAAACCTGATAGTAACATAGATAGTCAACAAATTCGCTGGATATTTGTGAAATGAATCCGTGTTACATTTTAGTCGGGGAACTTGTAACGAAGAGTGTACACCATCTGGATTGGAGGATAATATTAAAAAGTTCCTATGTTGATCTTCTGGATTAAAATGTCTTGTAACTAGCTCAGCGAATATTACATCTCCAGAAACAGCCATGGTCTATGTAGCTAATTTCTTGTCTTAGAAGTATTTTTTAGCTCGTTTAGAATATTCTGAAATTCTGAATCAGATGAAATCAGTCACAATATTTACATTATATTTATCTAATCCGCTTTTTAATATTACCATGCCCTCTAGTATCTGGATTCCAAATCGCATCTTTTCTCAAGAATTTTTGACAGAAATTATTATTTTATTTACCTGAAATTACGTGTTCAGTTGCCTAAAAATAACTAGGCGATCACTAGAAAATTACTAGGTACACAATATAAAATATGAGTGGAGTTATAATGATCGTATGAAGAAAAAAATGTTTAGTACAGAGTTTTTGACTTTAAAGCTACATATCTGTAGATATCACTAAATCAAAATGGAAGTCAACATACTATGGACGTACTGACTAATAAAATAATTCGTATATTAAATCACGCATAACCTTCTAGCTTCCACGACGTAATGACATTTCTACGTTTGCGCCATAAGGATTGTAACAAAATAAAAATCTTACACATTTGACAATATTTTCAGTGAAAACAGAATAAAAAAAGTTCTACTGACAATAATATTGACCAATAAAAACCCATATAATTGTGCTCACACATTTTATCCGTGTTTCATATAACTCTCAGAAAAATCAGCGATTATTTCCCTAAACAGCATTAACTAGTTGATTTTTTTAATGGTCAAGTGCTGTGTTTTCTTTGCGGTAGGGCCTAGATTCTTATATAATCTTCCATACATTTTATCTTTGCCTTTATTCTCTTGCTACCCTTCCTAACGCTCCCTCACTTTAGGCTTCAAGGGGTTGAAAGTAAATTATTAAATCAGGATTCATTTACAAAACCTCTGTCTTCCCATTCCACAACCTCCATGTCTTAACACTACAGAAAGTGGGACTGGGAAAAGGAAAAAGAGTGTAACAGAAGAACAAAGAAGGAAGACGGGAACAGGAGGATATCTTTTTCTGACGCTCACTTCCTATTTATTTAGCCGACTGTATGTCTCCTATACTAACTTACGAG